AAGCTACCCAAGGCTGACCCATGGTTTTGCTAGTCTTCATGTGACATTTAAAGTAGGTTTTGCCTGTTAAACATAGGTTCCTAGAGTGCCTCAGCTGAACAGCGTTAAATGTATGTGGCCTCTAGATGCTACTCTGTGAGAGCAGAGGTTATCCATATGACCTGCATCATATCTGCCAGATGTTTTAGACACATGAAGGAGCTTAAAATGTTTCTAGGTGCCTCTGTTTGGGCAACTAAATCTTATCTTCAGTGTCCCTGTCTCACATTTTTTTCATATGTTGAATGGGGACAATACTACCTCTCTGCCTATTAAAACAATACGCTGTTGGGGAAGGACTGTCTTTTCTGTGCATTTGTTCAGCATCTACAACAGTGAAGCCTATGGATAATTACCTTTACACAGATATTTTTTACTGATTCTGAAAAAGAATGAGATGCACAGAATTATAAGATGAATCTGTTACTTTATTTATTCTGCCAGAATACTCCCTCAAGTAAACTGGTTTTTCCAGGAAAAGAGCAGACTTCTATATGGGGGGGAAGAAATAAAAGAAGGCTTTAACATTAAAATCAGAAAACAACAAAGTACATACTGTACTGTACAAAGCATGAGGCTTTGTGCCTGTCTATACATGAAAGCCAGTCCTTGTGGACCAAAATCTCAAAGTTAAGTGGCCAAACTTTCCATGTTAACTTCTCTTTTGTAGTTAAATTCTGTATGCTGATCTTACACTGTGGAAGACTGCCTTCTAAAGTATAGGAAGCATTCACACTTCTACAATGTGCTAATAATTTAAAGTAATAAGCATCGAGGCATTAACTTTAAGCTCGGAGATGGTAAATCTGAGTGATGTTGCTCATTCAGTTGACAAGTTATACATGTTAGAAATCACAGGGTAAAGAGAACATAACCTTAGAATGCCACCTTACAGTTGGAAAATAAATAGAAGCAGTAAACATGCAGATTAATGCGTGTGAATTTATTTTCTCTTGGTCTATGAAGAAATAGGAACTTTACTCACCTCTCTGGCTGGAAGGAAAGTGGATTAAACAACTGTAAAAGGAGATGTAGTATTCATCTGCTCAAATAGCTGGTCACTGTGACTTTTACAGTGGTCTTAAAGATACTATTTTCATTAGATTCTTGAAAAGGTCCATAAGTCAATCCATTTAAAAGTACCAGTATTTTAATTACGGCACCATAATTAATTAATACCTCTCTGGGTCAGTTTGGTAAAGAACATTTCTTCAGAGGCGCTTAAACAGTTGCAAAAACATTTTAAATAAATTCTCCTTAAATCAGTCAGTGTTTAAAGCTCTTGTATGTTTTAAGTGAATTAAGTTTATTTTCTTGCTAGTTTAAACATTTGTCTTACTGTATAAATTTATCTTACTGGATAAATGCTTAATCTTTGACTTAAAGTTCTCTGCCTGTCGCGGGCACGTGATCCAACCAGTCTAGTAATTTTTTCTCCAATATTAGCTGTGTCATCCAAAGATATAAAAGATATTAGAACTGATTACTTCAAACCATATTTCAAACAGGCAGAGTTTTCTTCCCAGCCCACAGGAGTTTGTGGCGTGTTGACACCTGAGACTAAAGAGGTTATATCTTATGCTGAAAGTTTCAGGTGACAACCTGAGCCACCAAAAGCCAACAGTAAAATCCCCACTAAGTATTATTATCATGGGAGTAAGTGAATTCTTTAAAAAAATAAACCTTTATCTTAGTCCCCCAGAACATTCCAGTTGTTTTTGTTAAGAAGTATTTCATCTTTTGAACCCTATTGTAACATTCA